CTTCCTTAAATACTTTTTTTAGCATTCAGGATGTATAATTGGGTAAACTAACCCAGTTATATAGATGTATAACTGGGTAAACTAACATTGCAAAGAAAACCTTAACTGCTATAAAACACCTATAACTGCAGCATCTGGCTTTTTAAATTCTAATTGCGAAGCCGTAAGAGATGTTTTGTTTTCATTTAGCAAATACATATTGAGTTTCTAGAAAGATAACTTGATTTACAATAAGCGTACCCAGTGGGAACCATATGCTTTTCATGTTTGCCTTTTAATGAAGGATTAGAATATTTCTTTCAAAATCTCTTTTCCAGAAAAACGCTAGTTTTAACCATTAAGTAATGTTGAAGTAAGAACTGAAGCTGGATTTTCAGATTTGGCTGTACGTGTGAACAGACATTTCCAAACACAAGTCCTTGGAATGATATTACTAGTTAATAATGCAATGATGAGTTTTATGTCAGCTTGATTCTGAGCAGTGTTTTGCTGATATCAGTATAAGATAACTGTATTATGTGAAATTGCTTGAACAAAGCTAAAGGAAGAGCGATAGAAGTGGTCTGCCTGAGAGGCTTTAGTGTTCTCCTTCTGCTCGAATTGCTGAACATGGCTAATTCTTTGCAGAATGGCATTTAAGGTTACATTTGGAGTCATTAGGTTATAAACAGTCCACAAAATATTTTACATACTTCATGTTAATATTCCTCTGAAGATCAAGATTCCCTGGGGAGAAATGAGAATATGCACCAAAAACATTCTCAGTTCTTGAGGTTTATGTACAACTTCCTAGATCACTAAAGATCAACTGTCTCATGAAGAAATTATTACAAAACAAATTTTGATGCAGTTCTCAGAGTGTTTATATGTGGGGGGAATATACTGGGTAATGCCCTCTCTTTTAGTTGTCAGATTTTCATATTTTTGCTGGCTGGCTGAGATGATTGGAAAATCTTTCTGACTCTAATTTGGTAAATTTATACGAACCTTCACGTTCAAGAATGCTTTTGAGTCCTGGGCTGTGTTGGGAAAAGACATGACAAAAGTGTTCAGATCTTGACAGAATGTCTGAATCTGTGCTATTGAATAGAGAGAGGAGTCCTTTCATTTCTGTTTCTCAGTAAGTCTTATGGGGGGGGAGTTCTTGACCCTTCTTGAAGATGCCAGAGTGTCTCTGAGACATCTGACCCGCCATGTAAATTTTTGCCAAGAATAAATCTGTCTGTACTGTGGAAAAGTGACTGTTTTGTGCTAGGCACAATCCATGTAAAACTGGGTCTGTGGAGGGACACTGTCGTACTTGTGAAAATGGTCTTGTCTTTTGTTCTGGCATTGGCATTTACTGCCTTTACTGAATGCTTGGCATCTACGGTGGTACATCAACAGCGTGTGTGCCTGTGCTCCTTGCTTGTGGTCAGCCGACCTAGGGCAACACTCTGAAATAAACCAAAACCTCTAGACCACCAGCTTGTCCTTCAGAAATGAATCTTATTTCAGATTCCACTGTTACTTTGCAAAATACTGGGATTTATAAGCCTGGCAGGATGGCTCTGGCAGAGTTATCACATTCCAGCAAGATCTGGGCTCTCTGTCAAACCCCTGACTTAGTGGCGTTTCTCATACCTGAGGATGCAACTCACAAGGGACATCCTTGGCATCTTGTGTGCATCCAAATTTCTTCCAGCTCGTCTAGATGAGAGGCAACAAGTGGAGGACCTGAATGAGAATCTGGCGAGAGCTGCTGTAAGCAGCAGACACTTGTGAACTGGTTGCAGTTTATAGACTGTAGGAGCCACTGGTGCATCTTTCTGCTCCTGGGGAGCTTAGGAAGGAGCATTTTCCATGGGTTTGGTGAGTTTTTGGAGGTCTGCTTATCACTCAGGGTGGTTGGAAAGCTAGTTGCAGACAATTTGACAGCAGTACTTTACACTAATGAGGAAGCAGCAGGGTTGCACTTTCTCCAGCATGCCTTGAAAGGAGAAGTACAGAGGCTCAGCTGTTCAGAGCTACACAACTATAAGGCATAATAATAGCTCAGAGACTTTTCTCTAACTACGCAGCTCAAGCATATACTAACTGCATATTAGAGAACCAAACCTTGTCCAGCATGCTTGATCCTATAGCAAAGCTGCTTGATTCACCTCTGTTACTGATCTGGTTTCCAAATTGAATCCTTCAAGGCATCTATAAGGGTCTCTTTAGGTGCATGGTGGACACACTGAATACCACTGGTTCTGCTGGCTCACTTTGGCAGATACAAGTTCCATTTCACTATTAAGTTTCTACATTTACAAAAGATTGCTTTAGCTTTTTTGATTGAAACCTTGCTTTGAATTTCCCAAGAATTTGGGACATTTTTGACAGTCAGTATTTTTCCTCACGGTGACTTCAACTCGGTGTGAGCTCAGACTTCAATAAATAGCTGTGTGCTGACACTCTAAAAGCTAGTCATGCTGTCAGTTTATGCTGAATTCTTTCCACAAATGGGGTATATGTTTTAAAAAGTCTTAGCACTTTTCTTTCTCATGCCAGACCTGTATTTTAAAGGGATCCTGAAATTTATTATCATCTTCATTATTTTTTGCTGATGTTAAAACCATCTACTAAATTCAGTCATCTAAAACTGAAGGGACAGCGAAGATTTTGCTGTTTGTATAGTTTATCTTTGGGGTAAGAATGCTATTGCAGCTAGCAAGGAACACCAAAGGCTTAAGAAAAGGTTCTCCAAATACAGTGTTAGATGTAAAAAAAAAAACAAAACAAAAAAGTATTGATCTAAAATTTAATGGGGAAAGTGAGTAAACAGTAACTCATTAACTGATACATAGACTGAAAGGTTTGCTGCTCTTTTGGTTCTTGAGGGGAAAAAAAACAGAAAACACACGAACTCCTGGCTGTAATTCTACACACATTAAAATGAATACTAAATGTAAAGGGGTCAAATTAAACGAAAAGGAAAAGTTAGAAAATGGTGAAGTGCTTCAGTCTCTAGTAAAGTACTAGAAGAAATCCCTGAAGGCTTTATAACCATCTCTAAGGCAACAGGAAATGAGCGGTGTGGATTTATCAGAAGCAACCTCATGGGGGGAAAAAAATTTAATTTGGTTGATTCAAGGGATGTTTTACAGCCCAACTTGAGTGAGGGAAGCACATTGGTTATGGGATGCTGAGTAGGGATCTGTGTTCAGGATTAAATAGTAATACAGTGGGTTCATTAAGTGACTGGAATATATGCTAAGGACTAGTCTGTGGTGATGACTGGGGTCCTGGAGGGGTTTGTTCTGCCTCTGTGCCAACAGTTTGGGAGACGAAGAGAAAGCACTTGAGATGCAGGTGGGGGGTTGTGTGTGTTTTCTAAGACAGGAGAACAACTTGAAGAAATAGTCTGAAGCCTATTTTACTTTTCCTGAAGGAAAAGTGCAGAGTACTTATTGGATGGAGAAAGTCAAATAGAGGGAGTCTGGGATTTTGGGATGTATCAGAAATTGAGTGCAGTTGTTG